AAACGTTGTTTCTATAAAAATTACATTACGCTATATCTTGGTCGAAAAACGGTTGGAGCATATACCCTTTGTAACACTTTTCGTTCTATAACTGTTCGTTTTTGTTCATGGCAATATTTCCTTTTTTGTGATGTTTTTTTTGTTGTCTTGTACGTGACTGTAGTCCCCAAAATCTTACTGCCATTCCGCATGACGTCATACCCCCACCACCGAAGAATCCCCGCGCTACGCTTCCCCTCGCCTACGAGTATCCCCCGCACCCCGCGCTCCCCTCTAGACCCATGGGTTAGAACCGGCCCAGTATACCTACTGAGGGCGTACAGGATGGTGTCGCATGCCACCACGACGGTCTTCGCGGGTGTTCCTCCCGCGAACCTCTTGGCTGTGGGTCGGGCGGACAATTATCGCTGGCTGGAGGCCGCCTGTATGCGTGGGGAATTACCGCCCCCTAGTGCCATCGAGGTTGCGAGGACCAGGACATACTCCCGGGTTATCGACCAATGGCGGGAGCGCCTAGAGTGGAGCCCGGAATTTGCCGGCAACAGGATCGTAAGGGCCGTCGATACCCACCTTCAGGACTAGGTTGCGAGAGGGCACGGTTACCTCTCGCATCGTCTTACACAGGTGCTCACCGGACATTGGTGCTTTAATGAGTACCTATGTAGAATTGGAAAAGAGCCGATCACTATATGGCATCACTGTGACGCCGAGGTCGACTCCTCGCCGAGGTGGTGTGTGAGGACTTCTGATCATGCTGCCGGCATTGATAGAGGCCATGCTGAGCAGCGAGGAGATGTGGAAGGAGGTTTCCTCCTTCAATGAAGCGGTCATACTTCGGAAGGAGGGGCCGAGAGTGTTCGTGAACAGGACTTGATTAGAGAGGCCGGGGAAGACTTCGTCGATGCGGAGTTCTACAGTGCCTCGATCCACCCTTCGTAGACAGCCGGGCGGCTTCGCCCAACCCGTCGACGTTGCTTCAGCTGCGACCGAGACGGTAACAGCGGCCGCGGGCCCAGGAGGGCGAAGACAGAGCCCTCCCTGCTCGGCCTGCTGCCCCGGTTGCGAGGGCACAGGTATGCAGCGATGACTAACCGCTGCATTCCCATCCGAGACGTGAGCTCGGCGGGGGTCATTCACGGTGACCCCTGCCGAGCGAGGGGGTCAGCCCTGAGCGGAAACTCAGGGCCGGCTCTGCTCCTCCTCACAACATCAAGTGGGAGTCGAGGGGGCAATGTTCTCCTCTCGCCCGTGGTCTGACAATGTCCCCTCAGGGCACTGACGGTCTCACAAGGAGATGGCACGAATTGCGAAATACGAATTGGAATGTAACCTATACCATTCGAAAGGCGAGTTCGAGAGTGTAAAAAATGTAAAAGAGTTTGGGTGCATGGGCCCTAGTTTAAAAGAAATTTGCATGTGAAATTGAGCAATGGGCCTGCTGCGCAGTTAGTACTGTGAATAAGTATGGATAAAGCAAGAAGCGCGGTGGCCGAGAGACCTGAGGCGCGCGTACTACTTTTACAACTGACGAAGAGAGTTCGAGACCACGCAGTATAAAATTTTTTTTTATTTAATCAAAAAACGTCATTTTATATATTGATTTACGTTTATTTATTTATAAAATTCGAACATTGCCGTACGATATTGTAAATTAAAATTTATATTAAAACATTGGAAACACAAATTAGTCGTACATCACAAACATTTTATAAAATAATATTTCGTTTTATATTTATTTTTTATTCATTATTATCATTATTATAAAATTCGGACATTGCCGTACAATGTTGTGGGTGAAAATTAATGTAAAAGCATTGGAAACATAAGTGAGCCGCACACCACGAACATTTAATGAAACAATAATTCGTTTTACACAAATTACATTTCAAGTTATGTAGATTTGCAAGGAAACATAATTGATTAACATTAAAGAATTATTTCATAAAGAATTATTTCAATATAAAGAATTATACAATAAAGAATTATTTCATCATACCGTACATTAAAGACATTTCTGAAAAATTTAAATCCATCGCAAAAAAGAAGAATGTTACAGTTGCCTTTAAACCTATGAATACTTTAAATACTATTATAAAAACAGGTAAAGATAGACTAAGAACTATGGAACAGAATAGTGTGGTATATAGAATAAACTGTCTTGATTGTACAGCTTCTTATGTTGGTCAAACGAAAAGGAAGATTGCAACTAGAATCTTTGAACATAAATTGAATCCTTCGAAATCTAGTAATTTACACACATTCGTCGCACAACATCAAGTCCAGTCAAATCACAACTTTGATTGGAAAAATGTCCTAATTCTTGATATTGATCCTTTTTTCCACAAGAGACTGAAATGTTATTCATAAAAAAAACAAGTTAACGGTATTAACAATATCAACAATAAATATCCTAATAAAGTAAGAATATGAATCGGACTCTCAATCTTCATGTATAAAAAACGGTCTCACAATTCGTGCTAATGAGAGTCAACCGCTGTTGTCCAGGCGAAAAGTAAAAATTGTAGATATACTAAAGATGTTATTAGTCCTCCTTTTTTAATGTCATGAGGTTACATAGTATCGAACGTTTCAACTCACTTTGGAGTCTTCATCAGCGCAGAAATTAAACAAGAAAATAACATCTCCGTTGAGAGTCAGTCACCACAAATTACCAAATTTTGTTGCACTCTGCATACGATACAATAAAAAGAATCTTAATATATAAAAGAATTTTAACGTACAACTGATTAATCTCAAGTGACTCACCCCAAACGGAAAACATCAAAGCTCAAAATTGATTACTTCACATATTTTTTTACTATGCAATTATTCACAATTAGATGTGGAACCAGTAAATTCATAAAGGTATGTCTTGTCGTTTAAAATAGAAACGTTAAAATGACATTCGCAATACAATGAAAATAAATAGAAGTAAGAAAGGCAACTCAAGAAATAAGTCACATTCTCAATGCTGTTTAAAATTATCCAATAAGGAGGCATACGAATAATGTAAACACTCTGTGTCCGTTTTCAAATTAAGACCATTTTTTTGCATGTGAATATGCAGCATTTCTGAGTTTAACCTTTTATTGAGAATTCTCGCCTTATCAAGAATTTGGACACCATCCCAATCAAATTCATGGTTGAATTCAAGACGATGATTTGTGATCACTGATTGGTTATTGTTATTCCTATTGATATGATTGCGATGCTCCGAAATCCTAGTTGTTAATTTTCTGCCTTTTTGGCCAACATATGATGCATCGCAATCTTTACAAAAAATTTTATAAACGACGTTCTTATTAAAATATTTTGGGAGGGTGTCCTTTTGTACTCTATGAATTTTTTAAGAATAATAAAAATAATAAAAAGATTTTTAAAGAATAATAAAAATATCATTTTCACTTTTAGATTTTTAAAGAATAATAAAAATATCATTTTCACTAAAGCGGATAAGGGTAACATGACAGTGGTCTTGAACAACAATGATTACATTTCGGAAGTCACAAGATTGTTAAAAGACCCTGAGACATATATTAGAATTCCTAAGAATCCGATCAATACTCTAATCAGAAAAACCAGGGAATTACTGATGGTTTGGAAAAGAAAAGAATTTATTTCAGATCAGACATATAAAAGATTATTATGCACAGAAGGTATTCTTCCTAAGGTTTGTACTCTTCCTAAAGTACATAAACAGGGTTGTCCTTTCCGCATTATCACTTCTTCTCTAGATAGCCCACTTTACTCTCTGTCTGTTTTTTTACATGCGCTAATTTCGAAAATGACACCGAAACCGGCTAGCCACATAGATAATAGCTTCCAATTGATCCAAAAATTACAAGGCAAGGTTTTAAACAATAATATGGTTCTTATTTCTCTCGACGTCATTTCGTTATTCACCAACATCCCTTTGGATTTAGCAAAAAAATGTATAGCCAATAGATGGGAATACATAGGGAAATCTACTTTAATCCCGAAAGATGAATTTTTACGTGCAATAGACTTTGTGTTAGAATCCGCGTATTTTAACTTTAATGGGGAATTTTTTAAACAGAAAGAAGGTACTCCGATGGGGTCACCTCTCTCTCCGATTGTTGCAGATTTAGTAATGGAAGATTTAGAGGTTGAGATTTTAAAATCTTTGGATTTCCCTGTTTCATTTTATTTTAGATATGTTGACGACATTCTCATGACGGTACCTCTTAATAAAGTTGACAAGATCCTTGAAAGTTTTAATTCATGGCATCGCAAATTACAATTTATATTAGAAGTGGGGGGAAGTAGAATTAATTTTTTAGATTTGACCATTATTGCAAATGAAAAAAGAGTTTTAGAGTTTGATTGATTCCACAAACCTACCTTTTCGGGACGTTATTTAAATTACCTTTCCTCACACCCCATGTCACAGAAGAAAGGTGTGATAACGGGAATGGTAGACAGAGCTTTTTTACTGTCGAATCCTCAGTACCATTATAAGAATTTGAAGTTTGTAATCAATACATTATTGAATAATGATTATCCGATTGATTTCATTTTTAACACTGTCAATTCACGCTTAAAATTATTATGTCTTAAAATGAAAACGAATGAAAGCAGGAAGGGTTCGGACAACTCTAATGAAGAACCTACAAATTGGTTTGTTTTACCATATGTCCCAAATTTGTCAGCGAAATTCTTCTCATTAGTTAAAAAGTGTAATGTTAAATTAGCGTTTTTCAGTTTTAACAAGCTTAAAAAATTCATTAGAGTACAAAAGGACACCCTC